AAAAAAAAAAAAAATTCCCTTATCCTAATCAGCCAAAGGTAATGTAGAAGAAATAAAAATTTTAAAAAAATGACAGAAAAGGTAGTAATTTGTTGAAAAGCAGTCCATGAGTATAAGTGGCAAGATTTCTTATCCCAACTCAGTTAACATGGCTATGGTGGTTTGTGATGTCTATGGCACAGAAAAGCAGACATCTAACCAATAAGAATGCTTTCGGGTAAATTTTTGATGTATAATTTCAACTTCTTCACAGTAAGATGCTACTGTTTTGAAATGAAATGCCCCTTTTACAGACTACCATATATTTACCAGAACCTTTTTTGTTTGCAATGATGGTTTTAACAAATGTTAGGGAACTTCATTAACATCTATCCATTAATCAGATAGCTTCTAATTGCCATATGGTATCCATTTTTTGTAAAATCTATTATCCTTCCTTAAATAGGCCTCTTCTGTTTCAAATTTTAGCCCTTTATGATCATCCATCACTTGGTGTGGTATCTACCTACTTGTCCAACTTTTTCACCTTTCCTATTGCAGCCAGGTGTCAAGAAACTATTGTAGCAGAAACTTCTAAGTCTGATGCAAGTCCTCGAATTGCTGCCTTGGGGTTAGCGTCCACCACAGCTCTCAGCTGATCTTCATTTGAGACAGATTTGGGTCTCCCTCCAGGCTCATTTTTCAGGCTCAGATCTCCAGAATGAAATTTTTCAAATTGCCATCAGATGGTCCTTTCACTAACCGAAACTTCTCAAAAGACAGAACTAATGTTCCTATAGCTACACTATGTCCTAGTTTAAATTCATATTTAAAAAAGTATTCCCAAATCTTTCAAAGATATGGCATTGTTCACTTCTGTGGAGAAAAATAAACAATAAAAACTCAATCATCAAAAAACCCTCAAGGGCCTAGTACATGAATACTAAATAGCACAACTGCAAAACAGACCTGATATCAACTTTACAAAACACGGTCAAGTTTCAGCGGGTCAAACTGCAACAATCTCATTTGGAGAACACATATTTTGTCACTGTTCTTTGTTGCTATCAGTTGATATAAATTAGGTGGATGTTACTTTTAAACCTTTGGGCTTTCCAGCAGTAATACAATTTTCAGTAATTTTATAAGCATATACCATGGAAAAATGCTTTCAAACTAAAATTTGAATTGTTTTTGAATCCAGGAACACAATGCCTCTTTTTTTTTTTTTTTCCTTCGAGACGGAGCCTCAAGCTATCCCCCTGGGTAGAGTGCCATGGCATCACGCTCACAGCAACCTCCAACT